AACATAAACGGGGGAAAAGGAATGGTAAAAGGCTTGCACCATGGCTTAAATACTTAAATAATCTAATGATGTTTCAAAATTATACAAACCAAACAAGCAATTTTTTTTCTTTCCACACCATTATTTTCTCCCCAGGGATTCTTCGTCGCTTTGATCTTCTGCTTTTTCAACGGGGAGGTAAGAGAGGAAAGCACGAAGCACAATGTAATCATTCATTTCTTTTCTCCGCATGGTGCTCTTCTCCCTCTGCCCCCTACACTCCTGTCCTCATGTATAGCCTACTCAACTAGCCTTTCATCTCACCAATGCGACTGTCACCTGCTCGTGAAAGCCCACATTACAGGGTACTTTTTGAGATAGGATTTCCCCGTGGCTATCAAAATAGCAGTTTGCGATATCACGACAACGCCAAGACTGTCGAAACAGTCTGAGCACATCCGCAGAGCAAGGGAGCGGTAAGACAACGGCATAAATGATTAATTTCGTCAATGCTATTTTATTCTTATTTTAACGGTAAGTTTTTTTATTCCTGTATTTATATGCAATCTGTATTTTATGAACCTTTTAGTTCGCTGCTGCTGCAGAGCTGCATGAAGCTTCTTTTTTATACACCCCGGATAACGCAAGAGAGGTCGCGGGCAATGCCTGTTTAAATGGAAACGTTCAACTTCAAACGTTGTTTTGTCTTTCTGTTACGCGTCACGGAGACTTTCCCAGACTCTCAGGAAACAAAGACGTCGCAGTTGCTGTAGCAATTCTTTCTTCACCGCGACTTAGATCATTTAGACTGCGATATAAAATAGACAGCATCATTCTACAAGATATAGACAAAGTTAGGAATCTCGCTCATCAAGTACCCTGTAAAGACTATTTTTGTTCCCCGCACGCGCATGCGTTCGCACCACTAGCACCATTTTGTTCCTTTTGTTTTTGGTATTTAGATGCGGAAAGGAGGTTATTTTAGAAGTTTTCACATACAGTAGATAAAAACCAATTAGATTGGTTGCTATGCTGTAATTTTATTTATTTATTAAAAGTATTTATGTGTGAGTTTAAGTTACGTTAACCTTTTGATTTTTGCTCTAAGGTCATTTCTTAGAGGCCTTCAGAGTAGGGCAGAATATTACATGTCTTTTAATTCAAATTATGTTGTGTTGTTCCTTACACCAGGACATCATGAATGAAAGCTAGAGATTGCCTCTCTTTCCTGAAATAGTCCTCAATGCCGATCTCCCATCAATAGCGAGAATTCATGTTAATAAAATTAACTTTTACAGCCTTGTAATTGGCAGTAGCCTCTGATAAAATTAAGAGTTATTTGAACAATGAAGATGTTGTGAACAACATAAACACATAGCATGGTATATATTTCCCTCTTTTTTCTTCTTTTTTTTGTTTTTTGTTTGTTTGCGTGACCTTATCCATAAATCCATATACCCGTCATTGTGATAATTTTAGGACTTTATCTTGATTTGCACCAATGTTTTTGTGGATACCTTTTCGGAGGCCTTTTGGCGGCAACTCTGAAATATTTTGTTAGGCAGCCATGATGGGCCTCGTTTCCCGCAAATGAGCATCAGTTTAAGCAGTTCCAAATTGTCAAATGTGGTCCAAACATATTATTATATTATTAACTAGTAAAGGGGAGTGGCAGGGTTCTCATTTGTTTCTTTTTGTGCAAAATTGATCGTTTCACAAACATGGCAGTTTTTGGAATGCTTTTAGTTTTCTGTTTAGATCTGCACTTTCGTTGTTTGTATGTTGTTTGTTGATTTTCTGTTCTAATTTAGTTGGGGAGTTTGTGGACTATTATTGTTTCACTTATTATGTTTAAGCTATGTATGCATTATAATTTCAGGCACACTAATTCAAACTAATCTCTGCATTATCCGAATCGCAAACTCGCCTAACATACATGTATGCTTCTGGCTTCTGCGAAATTCTCCTATGTTGACTCACATGCGCAAAAATTGCCAACCGTATGGCACAAATATATTATTTCTTTTTAAAAAATTAATTATCAACAAATCAAACAGAAGTTCGTAGTCAGGCTACATTGAGAAACGAAAAGAGGAAGAGAAAGAAAGCCTAGGAAAAAAACGACTGATGGATGGAAGAGGACGTAGAGAGAGAGAGAGAGAGAGGA